GGTTGTGTAGCTATAGCTACTGACAGTCTTGTGCGTGTTTTTTGTGTGTGTGTGTGTGTGTGTGTGTGTGTGTGTGTGTGTGTGTGTGTGTGTGTGTGTGTGTGTGTGTGTGTGTGTGTGTGTGTTTTTTGGGGGGGTTTTTTTGTGTAGAAATTAGACAAAGCTATATAAGAGTATGCTTTGTAACAAGTGGCAGCCATGCATATATGTGTATCTATTGACAGCAAACTTTATTATTAAATTATTTGGGACACAAACAATATTACTAAGAATATGTATCCAAAAGAAGCTATAATTGAATTATATCTCTTGATTACAATACATTAGTAAGGAATGCCAAAACTGAGTTAACTTACATGCTGTCAAATAACCCCAAATCTAAAAATTATTTAAAGTGTGTCAGTGCTCTGCATGGGGACCAGGTGTGGTATTTGTTTCACCTACAGTCACTCGGTTTAAGTACATAAAATATGCCCTTTGAACTTGCAAAGGTTGACAGGGCAAACTGTTTAAACATTGCTCTGTATTACATCATCATGTTCACATGCAGGTGAGGTACTTGTCCTTCGCCTCAGCTGTTGTTGCTGCATTTCTGGTTTTATTTGCATGCATGGATACAGTCACTGTGCACGAGTCTCTTGTGTGTTACCTTCTTTCACCCTTCTTTTCTCTGGCTTGTCCATCTGTTCTGAAACTGCTGACTGGTTGTCTAGATCTATTGGGGGAGGGAGGTTTAGTCATTGTCATTCTGCTCTTTACTTAATGAATCATTTCTATGTTCATAAATCACTTTTCTTACATGTTTTCTTCACAGATATGTTAATGTACTTGATGGCAACAAGTACATTAACATTTCCATTTTAAATCAAACCTAATAAAGTTAATAGTTGCATAGGAATAGAATCACCAGATAACCCTTGTAGGGAATCGAGTCCAGTAAATCATCCTGGGGCATTTTGTTATGAAAAGTTTATTTTTAAAATTGACTGTGTCAACTGATATAGTGTAAGTGTGTTTATTATTGGGGCTGCACAGTGATACAGTTGGTAGCACTATTGCTTTGCAGCAAGAAGTTCATGAGTTCAAATGGGTCTGGGTCTTTCTGTTTGGAGTTTCCATGGTCTCCCTGTGGATGTGTAGGTTCTCTGTTTTTCGTAAATGTTAAATCGGTCTTCCTAGGTGTGTGTGTGTGTGTGTGTGTGTGTGTGTGTGTGTTTGTGTGTGTGTGTGTGTGTGTGTGTGTGTGCATAGCTGTTTGTCCTGTGATGGACTGGACATGTCCAGTGTGTACCTGACCTCTCACTTGTTGACTGCTGTATATAGGCACTATCCCCTGTGAGACCAGTGTTAGATGATGGACGGATGTTTATTCTGTTGTGGAGGCAAAGGGGAAGATTTGAATTTCCCAGGACATTTAAAAATGCTTTTAATCTACATTTAGCTAACTTTCACAGTTACAATGATGATGCACTTTACTGATGCATCATTAAAACACACAGGGCTTTCTGCCTGTGTGTCAACCTTTAATGATTCTGAATGTAAGATTAGCTTCCACCTCATGAACTTAATGAAACGTGAAGCACCTTTTTTGGTTTTGCTACAACCATATTTTGAAAACTCACTGGCTTTTATCAAACTAACAATATTTTTTAATTTGTCTCTCTCCTTCTCCCCAGGCCTTTGTTCCAAACCAAGTGAAACCTTACATTTGCACTACAAAAGTCCCTCCTGCCTTGATTTGTCAATTTCAAGATCAAGCACAGGGCTTTAAGTGGAAACAAGAACATCAGGCAGACAAACAGCATTACACAACAACTACAAAAAAGAAAAGGCAGCTACTGCATAAATTTTCTTTGTGGGAGAGCATATAGCACATCACAGGCATCAAAACTTGACGACACAAGCAGAAATGTTTCAGCGTCTTAGCAACCTGTTGTTCGGCGATGTGGAAGAGGTAGCAGCTGATCTGAAGGGACCCAATCCCTGTGTGACTGAGGCAGACGAAGAGGGATGGATGCTCGTCAACCTGGCTGGTGAGTCCAAGAGTTCAGGGAAGGAGTGGTGGGGGAAATCTGTTATTTTATTTTAACATCACAGTAGAAAATACACTGGTCAGGCATAAAATTATGTCCACTAAAAGTGAAGTGAATAACACAGATTGTCATCTTATAGAAGTGTGTGTTAATGGATGTAGGGATTTTAGTTTGACAAGGAGAAGTTTGTAATAGACAGCTACGGCAGAGAATCTCCTGCACCTAATTGGTGTCCCCCAGTCTGCAGATCAGTCATAAAGGTTAAAGGAAGAAGTACTGTAGTGGTGAACCAGAACATGGGGAGCTAAGACTCAAATCAGACAGACTGTAGCTTCAGTCGCATCTCAAATTGGTATTTAGGGAGCTGCATAGCTGCAGACCAGTTAGGGTGAAAACAATATTTCCTGACAGTGGGGTTGTCTTTCAGCAAGATAATACTCCCATCCAGAAAGCAGAAATAGGCCAGGAGTCGTTTGAAGAGAATTCCCCCTGATCTACATCCAATGGTGAATCCGTGGGATGTACTGGACATTAAAGTCCAGTCTCTGGAGGCCCCCCCTCACAGCTTATGAACCTGCTAACATCCAGTGCCAGATGCCACAGGAACCTTTCAGGGATCCAACTCACGACTGGGGCGGTGGTCACAATGTTATGTCTGATGGTGCAATTAATTTGTGTGTTATGAAGTAAGAAATATTCACTTCTTCCTTGCCATTACATAATGCGGTTAAAATCTGAAAGGTAAATGGGGACGATGGAGTACGGTGTAGAATCAGTCTGGGCATGGCGTACCTCTACATGGCTGCCATGACACCAGCGCTGTCTCTCTGCAGATGAAAGCACAAGAACATTCAGCTTCGTCCACTTTTTTGTTCATGGTGGGATCTTGACAGACACAACGACTGCAAAAAGAAAGCTTGATTTGGTACCTTTAATCGAGCCAAGTATATATCGGCACTCCAAAAGTCGTGCTGATCATTTTGTCCCTTTGCCATTTTATGCCTTTGCAGTTTTGGTCCATTTCTGCCTGACGTTTGGGGGTGAAAAATTAACCGTTAGAAACATGACGTGTCATACCAGTCATGCATCAGTGCATGCCAACCTAGGCAAAGCATCACATGTGCTTCAAAGTAATTTTCTATCTTCTGCTCTTAGATTACAGTAAGAAGATGCAATTATGTGTCTGTGATAAATAGTTTGTAAATAATCATGAGATCACTCAGTTATTTTGATTTGATCTGGGGTGCAAATATGACATATTTCATTAGACAGTTCACTCAAACTGAGTATTAGGACAACAATCCATGGAAATCAAGAGTAATGTTTTCATCACGCTATTTTAATTGACTAATAAATAACAAAAATGGACTGGTACTGAGTTTTAAATGATGCTTAGACGAGGTATTAGCATAATATCTTTTTCCATACTTAAGACACGTAACATGGGAGGAAAATAAATTTTGATGTAATTATTTGTGGGAAACAATCAGTTTGTTTAAAGATATGAAATGGCAACATGTGGGTACAAAATGGAGAAGGGGCTACCTGACCCAGAGTTCATCAAAAGTACCTCTCAGCAGAATCAAAACATTATGTCACTGACATCATTACAACCTCAGAGGGTCAACACAACTAACAATGTGACTCCTTTATGTTTTGTGTTTCCTTACCCCTTCTTTTCCCCCCTCTTCTAAATTTTGTTTAAACACCCTTATATATCTCACATCGGTATGTGTGCGCGTGCGTATGTGGTCCCTCTAAAATGATCCTCCACGTCCCGCACGGCCTTTTGGAAAAAAAAAACAAACCCTTTTTTTTTTGCCACAATATAAAAAAAAAAAAAAAAAAAAAACATTTTTGCAAAATCATCCTCCTGCCTTCATTGGCCTTCCCGTTCCCGATCTCATCTGTGCCATGTCCTTAAAAGACTCTGACTGCATGATGCAGGTAGAGGATGATGTGGGAACCCCACTGACTGCACAAGCATCACCCGACAGTAAACTAGCAGATCACCAAAACATGCAAACAAGGACTGAATGCCCAGCCTCCATGCCCCGTCCGCCTCATAAGCGTCGCAGGCCACATAAAGGTCAGACACGGGGTCCAGCAGCACCTTCGGAGCCCCTGTCTTGTCCCAATGCTAGTCCACCACACTTAGGTGCCACCACACCTGTGAGCCTCCCGAGACGGGCCAGACTGTCCACGCCCTCCTCCACCCCGTCAATGTCTCCAGGCTCTGGGAGTGAGTGCGGGGAGAGTGGGGGTGCCAGTAGGTCAGGATCAGAGAGAGGCTGCATGGATGAGAGCTGGTTTGTCACCCCTCCCCCCTGTTTCACTGCAGAGGGAGCCACAGCAGAGACCAGCCCCATGGAGGACCTGCTCATAGAGCACCCCAGCATGTCTGTGTATGTCTCCCCCAACAACCTGTCCATGCTCTCCAGCAGCAACCTGTCTGTGGTGGGGGAGGAGAGCATTGTCAGCCTGGCGAGCAGTGCGAGGTGAGAAATTTTTATTCACACTATATCTCATCTTCACCTTCTTTTGTAACTAATAAGAGTCGTGCTGTTTTTTTTTTTTTTTTTTTTTTTTTTTTTTTTTCTCCTATTTGCAGCAGAGTGACTGAACCAGCAGCTCCCCCAGCCACCCGCAGCACTATGCCCACCAGGGTGAGCCGTGGAGCGGCTGCCCAGGCCGGGGCTTTGGCCAAGGTCACCCAAGTGGCCAGGGTCCAGCGTTACAAGGCTCGCATGGAGCGCCGCCATCTGAGCCGCAGCCACATCCAACGCCAAAACCGTGTGAGGGAGCAGGTCCCTCGTCACGCTTCGCACGCCAGAAACACCTTCCTTCACCAGCCCAGCAAGCGCAACTTCTGTCACTGAGGTTACCATCAAAAACGGGGGGCTTCGTTTATGTCTGGAGGTATTCGTTGTGCAGAACCCAACACAGTCAACATGTGTCCACCCACAGCATTTTTAGCTTCCATTTCCATACATTACATCAGGATGAGTCACAGTCTGACTCATCTTGGTCATTTTTCATCCAATCTGCAGTTAGAAAGCAGTTGCTAAATGTAGATCTTTGTAGACGTTATGATTACCCCCTTATTGTCCTCCAGAATAAACAACAAAAAAACAAAAAAAAAATAAGTACGTTTTCAAGCTTTATCCAGTTATAATTTCTCAAAATGGCAATAGTTGAGTTTTATTGATTTATATGTCTTTCTAAAGACATATGAGTTTTATTTTTCTTCATTTAAAACCATAATACTGTGTAACCATCATAGAAAATAAAATAAGACTGAAACAGCCCTGTCTTTCATACTCTGACTGGAGGAACACTCTTCATAGCAGATCTATAAAAACAAACATGATCATGATTTTAATTTGGTTAGCTTTGCTTACAAAAGGTCAAAGAAAATACCGTTTGGCCAGAAGGAGAGAAAAATCGACACAAGTTGGTTTCTCTGCAAAGTTGCTTTACTAAAAACAAGTGTGTTGCCAGAGGAAATAATTGATTCTCTTCTCTGCCTCGTGAAGAAGGCCACAGCATGTAGGAGACGGTGAGAGTATGTGCAAAACAGACTAAAGAGTAAAATGAATCCCTCAGTATATGCTTTTTAAAAAACGTGGTGTAATCCTCAGAGCAGCCAGTGAAAATTCAGAGATTTGGGGCTCAGAGTTGGGTTACAATGTTATAGCAAGACATGGTAGGTGGAAAGCGGTATCGAAGGCAACTCTTTATTTTGTTTTCATAATATGGATTTCATCTTATATTATCTGAAGTCTCTTTTGCAAATTTCCACCAAGAGAGAAAATAAAACTGTTCCTGCAGTCAGACGGAAAGATTTGGCTTTTAAAGTTAACATATTAATTCTCCTTGGAGATATGTCATTTGCCCAGCCATGTTTAACAACAATATGTGCTGTGAACTTAAATTAACTATGTAATTATAGTTTTTTTTTTTTTTTACAATAACCTACTGAAAGGTCTACAGTGCCTTGCAAAAAGGCTTAAAGCCTTTGATTTTTTTCACAATTTGTCACTACAAGCTTATGTGAAAGACCAACAACAAGTGGAGAATAATTTTGAAGAAGAAGAAAACTTGTACAAGTAGAAAACCTGAAATGTGTGGCTTGCACTTGCTCCTTCTGAGCCAATGATAGAACCACCTTTTGTAGCAGTTAACAGCTGCAAGTCATTTCTACCAGTTTTGGACATGTAAATAACATACATTTCTGCCCATTTGTCTTTGCAAAATATCTCATGCAGAGTAAGCCTGGACGCAGAGGGTCTATGAACATCTGTTTTCAAGCTTTGTTACATTTTCTCTGTTGTAGTAAGGTCTGAGCTTTAACTGGGCCATTCCAACACATGAAAGGGCTTCTAAACCATTCCCTGGTAGCTGTGTATTTAGGGTTGTTGTTCTGCTCGAAGGTGAATCCCTGCCTCTATTTCAAGTCCATTGCAGAATCTTAAAGGTTAGGATTGTCCTATTTAGCTGCATCCGTCTACCAATGACCTCTGTCCGGTTTCCTTGTTCTGCTAAAGAAAAGCAACTCCACAGCATGATGTTGCCACCTCCATGTTTCACGGTGGGAATGCTGTGTTCTTGTTCATTTCCTGCCACCCACAAGATTTTGTATGTAAGCCAAAATATTTACACTTTAGTCTCATCTGACCAGCACACTTTTTCACACATTTGCAGTGTCTTTTAGCAACCTAGACAAACTAGACAAACAAGATCTGTTGTGGTTTTCTCTTAACAATTCAACATTGTAACCATTTTTCCACAAAGATTAGTCTTCACAAGCATACCCTAATTTGGTTGGTCCCATAAAAATCCCAATTGAATATATTGAAGTTTGTGGTGGTCATGTGACAAAATGTGAAAAAGTTCAAGGTGTATGAATAATCCTGCAAGGCACTGTATTATAGGAGAAAAAGAAACAACACCTTTCTTAATGCCGGACAGCAAAAACCTTGCATCGGTTCATCAACCACTCCGTAAATGTCCAGCCCTTTTTGTTGCTTGCACATCCAGCTCTAACATCGTCCACTTTTACGATCTCGCTTACTGATATGTATTCAACAATATTAAACAATGGTGCTGAAGTGTATACTAATGTTTGTAAATTATTTTAAGACATGGATGTAAGTTTGCACTGTCAGATATTGTGTGGGTAAAAGTTTTAGCAGTTTGCTGTGTGCTTGTTTTGTTTTTTTTTCTTTCTGTTTTTACTTTTGTGAAACTTTTTTTTTTGTTTCTGATCCTGATGTGTGAGAAGGTGTACTGGCACGCTAAATGCTAGAACCTTTCCTATATGGGGGAAAATACTAATTATAAAAAAAAAAAGTGTTGGTCATTTATTTTTCTTGTAAATATTAGAAAACAACTTACAACTCTCCGTTGTAGATGTCAATTCCTCTGAACGTAGCGTCCGGTGGGGACTGAGGTTCGATGAGGCTGCAAATGGTCTCAGAATAACACCCAAAACATCACTAAACTCAGCTAATGTGCCATAGGCAAACCCTGGCCTCTAGAGGGCAGTGTCGCACAGCACCTGCTGCATGAATGGTAACGACGTCACACAGCAACGATTTCATAGTGTGGATACATCGCTGCAGGAGTTCAAGTTCAACAGAAAGATTGTCTGTGGATTCATTTCTGATTGTTGTTTTGATGTTTTGCTTGAATGAGTGACATTATATGATTTTTTTTTTTTTCCTGATGTATCTTTTTTGTTTTCTCTTGTGGCCGTGATCCTATGAATGAAAAAGTCTTTGCACTCAAAATATTAAAAAAATGAATACTACATTTTTTTTGTTTGCTTTGAAGATAAATATTATGTAATCATTTATATCCTCAATAATGCAGAGCATATGAGGTGTTGAGCTCATCACACATACACACACAACATATAGTGCTGTCTTTAATGACATCCACAGTATTCTAGCACTATTCTGTGCCTGAGAGGTAGATAATGTTCATCTGTTGCAAATAAAAAAGTGAAAGATCACAAGTGTAAGTGTGCAAAACCACCACAGATGACTCTGCAGCTGGAAAATGTTTTCTGTTTTGAATCCTTTTCTCTCCCCCCTCCCCCCCACTCAAAAATGAAACATGTTTTCTGTATGTTGTGTCTGATTATCATTAAGGTGTTATGCTTTGCGTGAAAGTTCTCAGAAATTGGTTGTGGATGGATGTGAGGGATGTGGACAAAAAGAGGCAAAAGACAAATAGTCTTATATATAAAAAGAAATGTACTGCATTAAAGGAAAAAAAAACATGGACATGCTCGTATTTTCCCACATAGCTATTAGAAGTTGTTTAACAATATGGGTGTTTCAAACAAAAGGCGTTGAATGTCCGGGAGGTGATTTCCTGTATTATGTTGTGCCCTGAAAATAATGGCAGCTTAAAAATACTCGGGAGGATTTGTCCATATTACACCTGAGTTGGTACAATCCCTCCCTCATTCATTAAAAAGAAAAGATAAACCTATAAACATTTGAAATTTGGTGTATCTGATATTTATGGTGATTGTGCCTTTTCACTGTTTCTGCATGGTTTTTGTGATGTATTGATTCCCCATCCTTGGACAAGTCATCCTCTGACAGACGAGATCTATGCAAAAAAAAAAAAACACACAAAAAAAACGAATCAACGGATGGGGATTTTTCAGCATTCATTCAGACACTCTCCAATAAAAATATATATACATATATTTAAAAAAAAAAAAGAAACTGAACAACAACAGTAACAACAAGAATAAATACTCAGGTTAAGACCTGAATTCTGTGTCATTATTTTAAGTCTGACTCTGACATTGATTAACCTATGAATGTAATTAAACATCACCAAATGCAGGAAGTGACACATTAGTTGTTCTAATAATGAATAAACAATTTGACATAAAAAAAAATATTGTTAAAGAAAACAGGTATCTTCATTTATATGTTTTAACTTATTAGATAAAATTCAAACTTTATTTTACGCACCCTAACGATCAAGGGCTGGTTCAGCTTATATTGTTGGAGACAACAAGGTGAAGAAATGGTTCAGGAATGAATCCACATTATGTGAACAGACGGGTGTGGCGATCAAGTGTAAATATTGTCTGTAGGTCTGGGCGTTGTGTTCTTGTGTGTAACACTGACTTAAAATAGTGTGCACAAGAAACTCAATCCAGCAATCATGAAAACACACACAATTATGCTAAACATAAACACCCAAAAGGAACGGCACAAGTCTCCATGATTTCTTTTTGGCAGTAACGGTGATATTTTTTGTCAGTCTCAGGTTTAATGTCATAATGTGGCCAGGGGCAGTTGCATTAACAGCACCATAGTGGACTTCCTCCTTCTGCTTCCCTGCACAAAGCTAATAAAGCAAAGCAAAAGTAAAATAAAACATGAAGGGAGATGGAGGGAGAGGCGCTCTGTCACAAGTGTGCTTTTAAAATGTAAAATGTTTCGAGAAAAACCAAGAGCTAGATAAAGACATTTTTGAAATTTGAATAAAAAGTGATTTAAATGGGAGTGCAAATGAGTATATAGTAATATAATAATACTGCCATAATGTATGGAGAAAAGTGATGATATTATGCAGACACAGTATCTTCACATAAGCTTTCAGAAATTTCTGTACCTTACATAAAAACAGATTTGCATGTCTTTTTTTTTGTATTTAAATTATTTAAGCCCTGTGTTGAGACCTTGAATGACATCTGTGTCTCCCAATTAAGATTAAAACGGAAATATAAGCTTGTATTTTGGAGATTATTTATGTGTACGTCGGGTTCCAGAGGAGTCAGAGCCTCACCGGTCATGAACTTCACAGCAAGTCACTTTGTCAGTGTGTCACAGCGCCCTAGGTTGGGGTGTTGTCCTGGGCAAAAAGCCCTTTTGCCCATATCAAAAACCAACTATTAATATAGCTGCTACCTGTTTTTATTTAAATTTTTTCTCATTTTGTTTTCCCCTTGGGGAACAAATAATAAAAAGAGAGAGAAAAAGTAACAGTAGACCGACATCTGAGACTTTTTCATTCTTTTCTCAGGTGAGGGAGAAGAAGACAACAAATAAAGGGAGGGTTTAAGGCTGAGCAGGTTTATGCACCTGCTATGACGTGCTTATCCACTCCAGCCAGTTAACCCATATTCCGAGGCAGCAAGTCCAGGAATCGCGAAAAGAAGAGTTCCCCCTCTTGTTACTGCAATGATGTAGATAGGCGAAAAGGCGGGGGATTTATGTTTTTTCAGAAACAGATTTCAGTGAACCTTCAAGGCCTAGAGCTCTTTTCCACTGAAGTAAGTCTGACGTTGGTATAAAGAAGACGACCGGAGCCCTTTGGCTATTTTTTCGCCTGGCAATTATTAAAGGTATCCAATTTTACCTTTTGGTTACACTCAAATGTATATTTAAAACTGGGTGTTCAAATTCCTATAATTATCCTCTAACAAGTCCTACCGGTTGTCCGACATCAATAGGAAGTGAACTTCAGCGTCGAGCTGCGGCTGCTGTCTGTCTGCGGGGAGGGATTCGGTCGCTGGGATGACTCCGTTCTTCCTCCTCACCGGCTTCGCATAAAAACCTACAAAATAATTAAAAAAAAAACACCGCCAAGGAATGGCTGTATTGAACATGTATTTTACGACAAGGGTAAGTATTATTGCCTCACACCGATCCTCTTAGAAGCAGTGAAAGATGAGTTAGCTTGTAGCAGCGCGGTAAATAAACAGCGCACGAATTTAACCTCGGAGTTTTAACAGGTAATGATGCTGCTGTTTCTATTAATAACAAACTCGTTTTTTACTTGTCTCTTCCAGGAAACATAATGTCCTATGTGCAAACATTAGCTTTAGGCGTTAATGTGTTTTATTAAATCCTTTATGACGCAAGCTCATCGCAGTTGTATCAAGGAAGCTGCTCATCTAAAACTAGTCAGTCAATCTGCATGTTTGTTTTTTTTATCTTCAGGTGGAAGGAAAATCACCATCATTGGAGCTACACACGGCTGCTTCGGCCTAATGAAACGTTTCCCAATTATACCCTGCTGCAGTGATCTTAGATGTGCCACAATCACACTTAAAACCTCAAATCCCTGCAGGATTGGGATATCATGACAATTTAAAGAAGCTGCAGGTTCCGGATTTGCAGTCCCTCAAAAGAGGAAATCCATAAATTTCTCATTACCTTTTTCTTTTAATATGTATTTCTTGGGCTAATTCAAGAATTTAGAAAAAAGAGTCAGCACAAGATCCACTGCAAGTCATGCACAACCCTGCTCCAGAAGCTGTGGCAGCCTATCCTGGTGGAAGTGGGGTGGACAAGGATGCCAACCAGGAGACAACCTTGGGGAGCGCCTACTCTCCGGTGGACTACATGAGCATCACCAGCTTCCCCCGGCTGCCGGAGGATGATGTGACGTCTGGAGAAAACACCCTGAAATCCCGCAAAGATGATGACAACGTCCTGAGCGAGCAAGACACAGGTAGGACACAGGAAGTCAAGTCAGGAATCATTATGCAAAATACTTCCTAGCTGAGCTTATCTTGCTTGTTCATTTAAGTCTGTGGTTGGTACCACTGTAATAAATCACTCACACAGGTTCAGTTAGTTCTAGTTTCACTATATGTAGTCGTAATTTAGAAGTGAAATCTAACACCAGTTTTTTTTTTTTTGTCAAACACTGCGTCCTCTTCTTTTCTCACTTATCACTGCTTTTCATTTACGCTTTACTCATCCCCAGACCCAGATCTGTTTCTGAAGTCGGCTCGCCTGCAGCGTCTCCCGTCCTCAGCCTCAGACTTGGCCGGCCACGAGGTCGCCTCGCTGCGGGAGACCACCGTCGACCCTTTCACAGAGGACTGCGCCTGTCAGCGGGACGGGCTGACGGTCATAATCACGGCCTGTCTCACCTTCGCTACCGGGGTCACTGTTGCCCTCATCATGCAGATCTACTTTGGCGATCCACAGGTACTGACTGGCCTATTGCTGCTTCCTGCTCATTTAATGCCAACAGCGTTGCATCACTTCTGTTTCTCTCAAGTTAATAATTAAGAGATTACGCTGTGTATCTGCTCGTCTACACCCGTATAAGCCATTTCATAATAAAGGTGTGATGAATACGCTTCCTTCCGTTGTCTTTTTATGTTTTCAGGTCTTTAACCAGGGAGCGGTGGTGACAGATGTAGCTCAGTGTACGTCTCTGGGGTTTGAGGTTTTGGGGAAGCAAGGGTCCAGTGTGGATGCTGCCATCGCTGCTGCTCTCTGTTTGGGAATTGTACACCCTCACACCTCTGGCATTGGAGGGTGAGTTACTTAAACTTTAACAGTAAAAAAAAAACAAAAAACAGCAACATGAAGATTAAGGAACAACACAGAAAGACCACAAACAAAGTTTTGGCGAGGTTTAAAGAACACTCAGGCTATAAAACATTATAACAAGCTTTTCATATCTAACTGAGTGACATGCAGTCCATCATCTGAGTATAGGAAGAGACTGCAAATGTACCATTCAGCCTAAACTGACTGTCAGGGAAGGAGAGCATTAATCAGAGAAGCGGCCAAGAGGCCAATGATAAAGCTGAGATAAGCTGCGGAGATTTACAGCTCAGGTGAGAGAATTTGTCGATTGGACAGTTGTTAGTCAAGCACTCCACAGATCTGGCCTTCATCATTGAAGAATGGCAAAAATAAAGCCACTGTTGAAAGAACAACATAAGAAGCCTTGTTTGTACTACTTCGCCACAAGGCATGCAGTGGACATAGCATGTATGAGGCCAAAATTGTATGTTTAGAAACAATAATTATACAACCAGCACTGCTTTTTATTAGTCCATCACATGTTTTATATTTGCCTCTGTCTTGCTTGAACGTCTGCGTTGTGCTCTTTTGATGTGTAGCGGTGGCGTTATGTTGGTGCACAACATTCGTAAGAATGAGACCAGAGTGATTGACTTCAGAGAGACGGCACCATCTGCCATTGAGGAGAACATGCTGCTCGCAAACCTCGACCTTAAAGTACGTCTTTCTTCATGTCAGCCTGCTAGAAGTGAGAGATGAAGGTCAGAAGTTGCTTTCTGCTGCCTCTAACGTGTTGTTTAATTTTTTCAGGCAGGGTTGCTAGTGGGAGTCCCAGGGATGCTCAGTGGGATGCATCAGGCTCACCAGCTCTACGGCAGGTCCTTATACAGTTAAAATTATTTATTAAATCTGTCACAAGCCATTATACTTTGCTTTCTCCATTAATTTCATTTTTTCCGTTGAAATTAATAAAACCAAATATTTTGCTTTTATTCTATGTTTTTTTTTTTATGTGTTAACTGTAACAATATGTTTTTAAAGCTGTCATGTTCAGACGTAAAAAAAACAAGTTCTGGCTGTGATTTCGGAGCAAAGTTGTTGCTTTTGCAGTGAAATTGTTGCTTGCTGTGTTATCACGTGCCAGCTGCCTCTGCTGTGAAACAGTGTTTTATACTATCTTGCTTAATCACCTTAAAATGATTAACTGAGGATTGTTAGCATGACCATTAAGTTGTTTGTTGATTTAATATTTTTGTTTTGCTAGGATACCATGGAAAGATGTTGTTTCCATGGCAGCAGATGTAGCCAGAAATGGATTCAACGTTACTCACGATCTGGGTAATTATAGATTATTATCATGCCAGACACCGGGTGCAACTAACTGTCCTTACAGTTGCTCCTTTTTTGCAGACAGAAGCAAGGCACCATGTTTCTCTCAAACAACATAAAGTGAAGGCACACAAACTTTAGCTGTAATCTCATTTCTCTCTCTCTCTCTCTCTCTCTCTCTCTCCCTTTCATTTGTTTATTATTTTGCAGCGGAAGCTGTGAATAAAGTGAAGAATAAGAACGTGTCCGATGAATTTCGGGATTTGTTCCTCCCCAACGGTCAGGCTCCACTTTCCGGACAGTTCACCCGACGCCTTGATTTAGCAGACATTTTGGACGCGGTTGCAGACAAAGGAATATCAGAGTTCTACAATGGGAAGCTGGCACAGGACATGGTGGCTGCAGTAAGGAAGACTGATTTCTGTCTGAATGTATTAGCAGTCATGAATTTTGCATAGTGTCCATACAAGATGAGTTTTGTTCTGCAGACACCAAAAGTCTAGTTGTACCTTCATTTTATTATTGTATCATTTTATTGGTTTTATTGAACACTAATGTCAAAATGGGAATTAATGATGATAATATGGTTATTACTGGTTGCACAGGAATATCATAAACAAAAATTATATACAATTTTCTGTATAGCCTGTAGTTTAACACATTTATAACACACAGTTGTGTTGCACCATGCTCTAACGGAAGTTAAAGATTTTGGTGGCATTCAATGATAACTCCACTTATTGTGTAGCTTTGATGAATAAGATGCAGATTAACCTAGAGCACATGATTTGAGGACAACTTTTCTTCATTAACACTCCAGAAAGTTTCATTTTGGTCTCGTCTGACCAGAGCACTGTTTTTTTTTTCCATGTTTGCTGTGTCCTCTTCATGGCATATGACAAAGTCCAAAAAGAACTTCTTGTTGCTTTATTTCAACAATAACTGTCTTCTTACCCCATAAACACCAGATTTATGGCAGTCAGTTGCAGTCGACTTAATTAAGCGATATCAATGGAAAGGTGGCTGAATACATATTTTTTGATGCAAAAAAAGCTGTTGTACAATGATGTATCATTTTCCTTTCTCTTTGTTGATCTCTGGCCCATTGGTCCATCCCATAAAACCCCTGCTGAACAGTGGGATCTGATAGCTGACTTTTCAATAAAATGACCTACACAGAGCTGAATAAATATCAGCGTATAAGAAACAAGCAAACCACTGCTCAGTCGATATTGTCACCCAGCCGATTCAGTGACCCTGACATGACCTTTAAAAGTACACCCCCTGGTGTTAAGCTGTGTGTTTGATTAGCGAGGCACTAACGCACTGGAAGAAGACTTTAGCTCGATGATAGATAACATAGTGCAGTCAGTTGCAAACACTGGAAAATCTTGTTCCTCGTCGGCATCTTGAAATGTTTGTCTCTTACTGCAACTTGACAGAAAGAACATATTTAACTCTAACTGGTGAAATATGTTTTGTAAAAGCAAGCGATATAAGCATATTTAACCTAATTCTAGATTTGTAATAGGTGAAAGCAAAAGACGGCGTGCTGACGGAGGAAGACTTTGGAAACTACAGCACTGTCATACAACAGCCAGTGGAAATAACCTATCAAGGTAAATGTTCCTTATTACCCATCTGAGCAGTTGGAGAGACACTTTCAACTACAATATTCACTTGACCTGGTATGGACACTTGTTTCTACCGTTCCTCTGCGTTTCCTGGATGATTCTAGAATGAGCTAAATGTCCATTCTTGACTGTGGCAGAAGTATCAATGATGCTCTTTTGGACCTGAAGTGACCTGTTTTTAGTCTAGGAATCCAAATTAAATGCAAACACCGATCTTATTTAGTAACTACATATTTTAGCCCCTTTTATTATTTGATTTGTTCGCGTTTGATATCATCATGTCTTTAATATTGTGATCTGTTGGTGTTTTTGAAGGACATCATATCATGGCCGCCCCAGCCCCACATGCAGGTGTTGGATTGATCACTGCACTCAATATTCTTGAAGGCTACAACATTACCAACCAAGTGCCCAGAAGTAGCACCTACCACTGGATTGCAGAGGTAAATAATAATAAAATAATAATAATAATAATAATAATATATACACACTCTATATACACTTTATATGCTGGACTGATTTGTGTTTTCTTCTGTTTTATTTGACAATAACCTCCCCAGGCTGTGAAGATAGCATTGGCCCTTTCTAGTGGGCTGGGAGACCCTATGTTTAACAATTCGGTCTCAGAGATTGTTGATAAGATGCTGAGGTACAAATGAATCCACCTTGTAAGAGGCCAGATTAGTCTCTCTCTCTCTTAGTAAAGCATCAGTACAGAACCTCTTCCCTTTGGTCTTCCAGTAAACCAGAGGCTTCCCAGCTCCGAGAGATGATCAACGACTCCCAAGCTTTCTCTGTCAACCATTACTCTTCATCATTTCCAATGAAGGACGGTGCAGCAGCCGCACAGGTCATGGTTATGGGCCCAGATGACCACATTGTTTCAGTCGTCAGGTATGTCTTATTGTCAGTTTGATTTAAAAAAAAAACAAGAAAAAACAAATCATTAAAGTTGCAGCACGTTGTACTTTTATTTTCTTTTAGCTCGCTAAATAAACCATTCGGCAGCAGGATAGTGACTTCGTCAGGTATTCTTCTAAATAGCCAGATCCTGGATTTTTCGTGGCCTAATGAAACACTGAGTTCATCACCTAACCCTGTATGTATAACCTTCAGCTTGACCTACTTCTTCATTAAATCATTTGTTGCACCATCTTACAGCTCTTATCTTTACGTTTTCCTTGTTGTTGCAGCATAACCTCATTGAGGCTAGAAAAAGACCCATGTCCTTCCTGATGCCCACAGCGGTGAGGCCGGCCGTGGGATTGTGCGGCACATATGTGGCCGTTGGATCCTCCAACGGAGAGAAGGCCCTCAGCGGCATCACACAGGTTAAATATTCACCTTTTAGTCCTGTTACACGTACAGCTCTCTCGTAAAATGTATGTTTTATTACAGTTCATGTAATTCCTCCACAGGTACTTATGAATGTTCTCTCTTTGCGCAAAAATATGAGTGACAGTTTAGCGTACGGCAGACTCCACCCACAGCTGGAGGACAACATACTCCTGGTGGACGGTGAGTTTTTCCTCTTCTGTCAGGTTGGGCACAAACATAGTGATACTTACTCTTTAGGCCAGTGTGAAGGTATCAAATTGGGATAAGCTACATAAGTTAGAATGTATATTTAGGAATAAGTTGAGTCTTTTCGATCAAGTGTCAAGTTCAATTTAACGTGTTCAGAATGATTCATTTGTCTCCATAAGCATTAACCTCTCCTGCTCTAAGCATGTACTGCTGCACATTGTTATTTTTATCTGCATAGTTTATTATACACTCTCTTTGTAAAGTGGAAGCTTGCCTCTGGCAAACAAAAACACCAAGTGTCTGTGTCTATACCAGCAGCTAAGCAAAAATGTTGAAACAATTTTAAATGCTTTTATTAACTTTTTCAGATGTTTAGGCTTTCTGGGATCTTACATGAGACTGAGACCCATGTATCTATTCTGTAAGCTGGACAATAACCCATATTCTTCTTTCCACCATACGCACAGAGAGCAGGATGGTATCATAGATAAGAAAATATCAACAAACATCACCGTTATAAAACTGCAACACCTGTATGTAGCTATTAGCTGCTTTCCATATGCGGGTCTTTCCTGTCCTATCACATGCAGGATTACACAGTAATGCTGTAATCTTACAGCATTACTGGGACTGTAAGAGGAACGCATTGTGGTCAGCTGAGAACAAACATCAGCTTTTTTAGCACTCAGACATTCCAGGTGGATCTGGCTTGAAACAAGGAATTTGTATGTAAAATAGCACCACAGACTGCTATTAAGTATGGTGGGGAATCTGTTATGGTGTGGGTCCGTTTCTCTTCCAAAATCTGTGGAAACCTTGTTTGACTGCACAATGTGGATTATTTAAAATACCAGGAACTTTCAAATGAAAAGATAGGATATTTTGCCAGAAAATATAAAATGGGTCATCATATGGTCTTCTGGTGAAATTTTCAGATTATGCTCCCGCACTAAAAGATTAACGTATTTGAAGGCAGGGTTGCCATAAAAGTATCCAACAGTGTAAAGTACCTCATGGAGACATGCAGTACAAACAATCCAAGCAAGTTGTGATTGCTACTCCCTTTGTGAGTGTTATATTTGAACCACATAAGAAAAAAATATCTTAACCTTCTTGTTGTGTTTTTTGTTTTTCTTTTACTTTATCTGCTCCAGCTGAGTTTTTAAAGGACGATGTGGAGCTGCTGGAGGCAAAAGGGCACAATGTCGAATGGAGGGACGTTCTTTCGTTGGTGGAGGGAACACGGAGAACCAATGATCTCATCATCGGGGTGAAAGATCCCCGCAGCGCTGATGCCTCCGCCCTCACTATGTCCAACATGCCTTAGTGCATTACTTCTTCCTTACTGCAACAGTAAGAGCAAGTGGTTTTTAATGAGGAAGAAAGGAGGCTGCTTAATAAATAAAACAACAAGCTAATTCGCTCTGCAATCATCTAACTGGGGAAACACATGCAAGTTTCCCAGAACTAACATGGTACAAATCTGACCCTCTTTTAGAATATTAAATTGAAAAGTAGATCCACTTTAATGTTGATTATAGCGCACCTACTTTCTCAACCTCAAGGACCGTCCTAGCACAGTGTACACCCATCCCAGAAATGGCTTAAAAGTCAGCTGCTTGTATTATACACAGTAATGTAGTTCATTATTGAATCAAAGTGAAACAGAAGCATGAGCGGTTGGTGAAGTTATTTGTCCAAAGGTGGCGAAATGGGAACTATTTTTTTTTTTTACTACTTAAGTTCCCGTGTTTTGCACTAGAAATGGCTTTCAGGAATTATGAGTGAAATTCCTTTGGAAAAATAATCAGTTTGTTGCAGGCACTCGTTTGAAAAAGTCATCATTTATAACATATTTGAATCACCTTTGCTTACTTTGTGATTGCATTTCACATAAGCACCAAGAGCTTAGTGGAAACGTTTACACCTGTTACAAATCCTTGCTGCACCTCACCTGAGAAGGAGCGTCTCAGACTAAACTAACAAGCTCCCCTGCTCTTTCTATGGCATGTAAGTGTGATTCAATGTTACTTGGTAAAGCTGCTGGAACTGGAACTGTTGCTTTGTCTTTTTGGGACCATGCTACATATTAGAGTGCACCCGGAACGTATTCAGATAACTTCACTTTCTCTACTCTTTGTTATGTTACATCCTTATTCCAAAATTGTGTCAATTTAATCTCTTTCCTCAAAATCCTACACACACCCCATTATGGTAGTGTCACATTTACTGAAGTATTCACAGCATTTGCTTAATACTTTGTGAATTCGCTTTTGGCAACGATTACAGCCTAAAATCAGTATCTGCCTATCTTTAGACAGTGGAGCTCATTCTTTGCAGTTCTTCTCAAGCTCCATCATGTGGGATGGGAGACGTCTGTGCAGTCATTTTCAGATCTCTGGAGAGATATTCAGTCTGATTCAAGTCTGGATTCAGACAATTACTTTTTCTTTTTGGTTTTCTTTTTTTTTTTTAAATGCAAAACTCTCAAAAACGTTTTTCTACATTGTCATAATGGAATATTTGTGTGTAGAATTTTGAGGAAAGAAATACATTTAAAACAATTTGGAATAAGGCTGTAACACAATAAAATGTGGGAAAAGGGAAGTGCTGTGAATACTGCACGGATGCACTATGACACTGATAGGTTGTTACATCCAATTTCAGACTATTATACAATTTAAATTCTGTTCTTTTCTCTTCTCTTTACCAAGATATTTTTATGAAGTTCCACAGGTCTTAGATATCAGTAAGTGTTTGATGAGTGCAATTAAACTAATCCTGTAGAAACTGAATATTTGCATTTTCTTAATTTGAAGGTTATGTGGCTGGATTCTTTCTAAATAATTTAATGTGATTTCTGTTTTTAAGGTAATGTTTATTTGACTGTATACATTATTATTATGTTTATATAGTTTTATTAACACGTACCAATCAATGCAAATTATTTGTGTACCGGTGCAATTGTATTAGATTGTATTAAAGGTCTGAGCAAAATGTTTTTGCATACTTTATCAATGAAATATAAATGCCAATCTCAATTAGTTAGATCAGTTTTGGTCTTTCATCTTTTTTGGGTGCAGTGTGGTAGGCACACATTTGCACAACTGATGTCTGGGCAAACAGTTTGCAGCTATCCGTCCAAACAATAAAGAATGTTTCACTAGTTCTTTCTTTCTGTTTTTCATTTAAACAGGATTTTAAAATGATGACTGCAGATTTTAACACACTGAGTTGCAACATATGGATGTGATTGTGAAAAACGGGGCAGCAAAAATAATTGCATAATAATTTTTGATTTAATAATCTCGATTTTTTTCAGCATTTCAACCTCTGCTAATCTCATGTTATTTCCCCCCGTCCCATTGTGTGCTCATATTTCATATTTTTGGGGGCAGACTTTCTGAAAAGGGAATTGTCAAGAATTGCCGTCAGCATTAATTATGATCCATTTTTATTTTTTTGTCTTTAAAAAGCCATCAAAAAGTTTTTGCTCAACCCCATGAAAATTGGATTCACAGTTTATGAATAAACATTTGAAGGGATTGCAACGACAGGGAAGGAAAGGCCTATTTAACACACATACAAGACATCGATATGTAGAAAATAATATTTGAAAAAAATAAAATATCCAGACACACACGAGAGTTAAATAAAGCAAATTGTATGTTTGTTTTTTTAACGAAGTTGTTCAAGCTTTTACCACAACTGGAGTTTTATTTTGGAAAGCATCATCGGAAGTCGTTCTGGTAACCTGCTAACGAGAATCATGTTTTGTTAGCCTTCCTAGCAAGCAGATTTCAACTGGTTAACCATATTTCCTCACGATTATGTGTGGTAAGGTGTTTCGCTCTTACTAATTGTAAGGTGTGGAAATTTAAAATGAGTGAATTTTTCAGCTAAGCGTAGGCGCTTGAATGCATTCGTGATGAGTTACCTTCTCTGTTTGCTGGCTAGCGGTTGCTAGCTGGAATTAGCTGTAGTTGACGGAGACGCTAGGATGAACAGTTTTGACTTCCAATTTGTATATTTTTAAGCTGCATCACCCCAAACGTAAAGATGTGGGGTGTAGACATTGTCTACTCTTGGTCAAATGTGCACAACCGCAAATTAAGTTGTATATGAGCGTTTGCGTCGGGAATTTCGTTACCTTATATTTGCGTTAAGGCCCATGCTGGGCCCCATCATCATCATTCAGTCAAGCTGGACCTCGTTTAAAGTGCTCCATTTAAACCGTGTTATATTAACTGACTGGGGGTAGAAACCACACTGCACTGTACATCGATAAAAGACGCTTCTAAAATTGAGATATATCAGCTTTGATAGACTGAACATCACCGGTCAAATTGATGTGACCTACAGGTGTGTTTAGTGTGTGCTGCTTTAGTCATAATGTGATTTTATGTTTTTCTTCTTGCTTTCATTATTAAGAACGGCCTATGTACATTAATAAACACACGTCTATTCGTTTTAAATGTGCAAAATTTTCCACTGACTCTCGATTTTCCCTGTGTGGCCCTTCTTTGGGAATTGCGATCATTGTAAAAAAAAAAATGCACAGCTCCCTACTTACTGTAGATATAGTACTATACGCAGTTTGAAACTTTATATGTGACAGACTTATCCAAGTTTAGGGGTAATTTAGTCAAATATTTCCAACCTTTGAGTGTCAACAATGCGCAATTATGTTTCAGTTCACACGCACATTCAGTGTAGATTTTGGCCCATAATTTAGTCCAGTATTTGTCATTTTTACCAGTATCATCCATAGTCCAAAAATGGAGTACATTTTGGCATTCAACATGAAAATTCCTGACACCTGGAATATAACAGGCGTTTCTTAGTGCTTCTTAGTCCTTTGCCACATCAGTACCACACACACTGATATGACCATTACAATGTATTTGCGATGTAATGTGCAGCCATAACTGTGTGTGAGGTGGCAGAAGAGGGATTCAACACTTTTTTTTGTCGCTAAAGAGAATAATGTGGAAACTAAAGTAGCAACACTTATCAGTTTTACTACAGAAAAACTGGTGAGATTTATTTACTAATCCAGGAGTGTTGCCTTCCCTTTTTAAGCATTGTGGCTCCTTTAATGCTGCTTGTCTACCTGGGCATGCAACCCAACCAATCGACCTGCTAATATCAACATGTTGTGCTTTCGTTACTCTAAAGAGCAACACAGCAAATGGGTAATATCCTGTCCAATAAAACTACTACTTAACTTGTGGCTGTTAAATTTTAAGTCTTTGTTTTAAAATCGAAATAATGACGATCAAACTTTATGCATAAACTGTCTTTATAAACATTTTACTTTTGCAACAATTGGAATAATTGTGTTTTAGAGTTTAGGACAATATATTATGTTATTTATTTTGTTTTACACAAGCAAGTACCTTATTTGTAGTGAAATGCTGGTATTTCTACTCAATGTCAAATCCAGAGAATCTGTTGCCTGTTCATGCCTCCTTTCATGTTGTTACTGTGTGGACATTAAATGTAAAATACCTGATAATACTTGGTTTAGATAGACAGACTCCAGTGAATGATGAAGGGGATGCTGCTTGATTAATGACAGCCCCTTCAGTCAGCAATAATTCAGATATAGCTGAGTTCTGATCTACAGAGGGTCTCAGGACAAATAGTTCTGGTGTTATTGTGCACCAGGAAACTGCTTCCCTTCAGAGGCTGTGTGTAAGGCAGAGCAGATCTGTTAACACAATGCATGTGGGTCATCTGAAACGTCACCAGCAAATCTCTTGAGGAACAGAAAGTGAGCAGATCTACGGCTTCAGCCAGCACACTTAAGTCTACCGGTACACATTTGTTTGATATCCAAAAAATTGGCGAAGAAAAATACATTTACTAAATAGGGAAAAAATAAAAACACATCAGGTATTAAAAAGACACATTGGCTTCGGGTACAGAAAAAAACCCTGGTCAATTGATTTCTAGTCTTACTTTTAGATTTTTGGTTGATTGAAAACAGTTAAAGGAAATGTGCAAATTCTGTGAAATCTAGCATAATAACCCAACCATGTCAAGGATCTTTTAGTAGGATGTCAGACAAACAGTGTGATTTTATCCTTTTAGCTTGCTAATTACTTGAAGCAATATACTCCGTTAACAATATTCATCTTTCCTTTTGTATGCATTTAAGCACAAAAAGAAAACATTCCCTTCCATATTGTTATAAGCTTTTAAGTCTGTATTGCTGCTTTGATGTGGCAGCCATGTTCTGACTTTAGAGGACGTTGGTTGTACTGCCAACCTGGAACTGAAATAATATACCCTGTTGAGTACAGCATATATCAAGCTCAGGTTTAGGATTAAACCACTGCGAATGAGCCAGTGTTAATGCTGTAATCCGTGCCAGAAAAATGCGGGATGCATGTATAACCTTTTACAAGTACGTGCTAATTGTATTCCAACTACTTGAGAAATGTTGAGTCCTCAGAACTGCGCAGAAGGTTTTTCATCTGAGCTGTTGAGCAGCTCGATATTGGAAAAAGTGAGTGAGATTGTTGAATATTGCATTGATACTAATTGCAGTGAAGGCACAATTCCACTGCTGTTATTTTTCTTTCTGTCATGAAACTGCTCATCCTTCAAATCTTCATTCTTGGTCAATAAAATCGACATCTTCTCCAAAGGTCCAGGGTAGGAAATGTCCATCCTGCTGGTCAAATATAATATCAGTATCTGTGGCCACTTAGAAATTGTAGCCTACCAAGTTTGTCATGCATTCAGTCCCTTACTTTGTTATAAATTCTTTGTTTTTAGCCCACCTCCCCTAAATTAGGTCGTTTGATGCATTTTTAGTTTTTGTGAAGCGCTTTGTTGTTTTTACCTTTCCAAAGTGCAGTTTAAGTGTTTTTACGTATTTTCTTTGCAATTGTGGCTTTGTAAATATCAGTATTGCTTTAACAGTTGTTTATGTCAACAAGTCATTTCTGATTACCATTAACTCATTTTGATTAAAAAAATAAGCTGAGCAGTGAGCACCTCCAGTTCCTCTGTGTTTTTTTAATTAGGAAGGAATAATATGTTTGACTTTGTCTTACTTAAATTTTGTGTACTACGACCTAGTTTAGTTTAGTTTTTTGACATTTTTCTTGCTTTTTGTTTTTTGTAAGATGTTCTAACCTGAGTCTTTATTACATGTGACTGCAGCTTAAAACGGTTCCGCCGCCACTCCTAGTACAGGCGGAGGATGGCTCACCAACAGACCCCGCCTGACGTGTCCCAGAATGCTGAGCACCTAGAGTCTGATAACGATTCAGACAGAGACTCAGGTGTTGGGGACGATGCAGTCGAAGAAGCTGATAGTTGCCATGAATGCAACACAACTGAAGTAGACGAGGTTCAGAAGGCAGACGGGATGGAAGAGCACGGTGTGAAGGATGAGGACTCCACAGTATTTGTTGCCTTTCAAGGCAACATGAACGATGAGGACTTCGCTCAGAAACTTTACTTGGTTCTCAGCGGGATACCCAACATGCTTAATATGGGTTAGCTTTCTTTTTCTTTTTCTTTTTTTACATAGTAAATGTATTATTCAAAATCAATTTTCTTGTGTTTATAGTGGCTTATAATGGAAAAATGGCTTATTATGTTTCCTTCTAACTAGGTGGTTTTAACTTTCTTAAATTTTAAGGGCTTTCATTTCCTTGATAAGTGTCAAAATATAACATGTATGAGATTTTATATTAAAAGAATTTGCAGTGCGTTGCACAAGATATGCAAGCCCTAAAAACGTTGACAAGTCGCACAATTTGTTTCTGTGAGCTCTTGTATGTTCTAGACATTTTTATCTTTCCATCTTGTCTTTCTATAGCACATATGAGAAAAAAAAAACTACATTACGATTATATGAAATATATATTCTTGCATCACTTTATATATATATATATATATATATATATATATATATATATATATATATATCATCTTTTAGGCTCTGATATGCTGCAGCCACAGTGTGTAGAGCCTTGGAACAGCGTCCGCGTTACCTTCAACATTCCCCGAGATGCAGCAGAGCGTCTCAGACTGTTGGCCCAGAACAACCAGCAGCAGCTCAGAGACCTGGGTATTCTCTCTGTGCAAATAGAAGGTGACAGAAGCGTAATGCATCCATGGATTTCTTTGGAAATTTAATGAACATG